AGAATAGAATAGAATAGAATAGAATAGGATTCTTTATTGGCCAAGTGTGATTGGACACACAAGGAATTTGTCTTGGTGTAAATACTCTCAGTATACATAAAAGAAAAGATACATTCATTAAGAATCAAGAATCATAACGTACAACACTTAATGATAGTCATAGGCTTGAAGATGTCCACGGATATCGAAATACACACACTGGGAAGGACGCCAGACTCAGATAAGAACTGAAAGACTATAAAATATTTTCATGCTTTGTTTCCAGCACTGGGCCATGCACAGTTTTTCCTTTTAAACAGTCCTCACAGCTGCAGCCCATGAAGGGGATCAGGGCCCTTTCCTCCCCCATAGACCACGCCATTCACATTTCTCCCTTATCCTCTCCTCCCTGCGTGCCCTAGGATGGAGAGGGGATGGACCTGGCTCCTCCTCTGACTGCCCAGCCAGCCTCTGTCCTTCCCCAGCCTCTTCCACAACCTCCAGAGCCACACTCCCACTCCCTGTCAGCTGTTCCTCCTCTCCCTCAGAGTCATGACACCTGGACAGGCATTCCTCAAGTTATGACCGTAATGGAGCCTGAGTCTTTTCTTAAAAACCTCCAGTGTTGAGGCACCCACAAGTTCTGGAGGCAACTTCTGTCCCACTGGTTGATTGTCCTCCCTGTTAGGAAGTTTCTCCTTAGTTCCAAGTTGCTTCTCTCCTTGATGAGTTTCCATCCGTTGCTTCCTGCCTTGCCAGTCCTCAGCTCCACTGTTGTTTCGGTTCTTGCAGCTTAGTTTCCAGCGCAAAGTTGGGATCCTGTATTGCCGGGAGAAACAAGGTTCGGAAGAGGACATGTACAATAACGAGAAGGCCGGGCCCACCTTTGAAGAGTTCCTGAACCTCTTGGGAGAGCGAGTCCGCCTGCTCGGCTTCGACAAATACCGTGCGCAGCTGGACAACAAGAGTAAGTGTTGGGCATGATCAGCTTCTGCAAGTGGTTCTGCAAACGAATCCAGGTTTGCACAAACTCAGGCCCAGGGTTGCGCGCAATCCCATCCCTGGAACAAAGGAGTGCTCAGTCAGTACTAAAAACTTATTTCATGACATGGTTGATAAGGTGTAAAGGTATGTAAAAAAACACCTTGAGGGACAGGATGAAAAAATGGTGTCAAAGGACGAACGGATAAGAGACCAACCCAGCCTTCAGCTGCACAATGGATGTAGAAAGAGGGTAAGAAGAAACTATCCCTACTTTCTCAGGCTGTAAAGGGGGGGGGTGGAGAGAATATAAATCTATGGAAAGAGTTTGAGTGTGTCAGGTACGTGCAAGGATATATGTAAAAGACCTTGATAGACAGAGCAAAGACACCTTGCTCAGGAATCTATCTATATAAAAGTGAAATACCACTCAAGCATCATCGCGTAATCTCCAGCACCGTAAAGCCTACAAACTTGAAATCTGGCACGTAGGTTCCTCTTAGCTTCTAGGTGCTCACCAAGAAAGGATTTTTCGAAATGACCATCAGAGCATTTAGAATATTTCCTATATTATTAATAATCAACACGCTCTGGTTCCAAGGAGTTCTACTCCCCCTCCCCACCTGAAAAGAAATCTCTTCCAAATGCAAAACACAAGCAGAGGAGAGGAGTTTCAGTTTCGGTTTCACAGCAGCAAAGCAGCTTTAGTACAGAACAGTTGAGCTAAGCCACTCCCAGGCTCCTTCCTGTCTCCTTGCTCACACAGCAAATACTGCTTCAGTTTCCAAACAGCCCTCAACTCTCTCACATACTGACAGGGCGCTACTGATTGATGCTGGAAGACAGAGGCAGATATTTTTTCCCCTTCCTTTCCTCCCCAGAAACTAAGCCTGATCACGTAGTTTCGTAAAGAAACATGGGGATAAAGCTAGTGGTCAGATGAGAGACAACATAAGCCTCAGATGTATAACAGGCAGGGCGAGAGGCTCACAAGAGACCCTCCCTAGTTTCTCAGGCAGTAAAGGAGAGGTGAGACAATCTAGACCTAGGGAAAGATTTCAGAGTGTGCAGGTATGTGGGAAAGACTTTGGGAGGTGGAGCAAAGAGACCTGCCCAGGAATGGTCAGGTAAGAGACAGCATAGCCCTCAGCTGTGCAACAGGCAGGACAGCAGACTCCGAAAGGACCCTCCTGAGTTTTTCAGGCTGTGAAAGAGACGGGGAGGAGGAGAATTCTAATGTCGGTCTTGCAAGATTCTGTTAACCTAGCTTTACATTCAAGTAGAGTTAAGCACATCAGGTGGTGTTAATGTGAGGCCGGATTTTAGGAGGGGATTTTAGCAAAACCAGCTCCCACCACCTCATTTGAAGGAATCCTGAGCACAGGTGAAGGAGGAGTCGAAGGTGTCATTGGCTTAGAACTGTTGTGTGGCCACAAACGATCCGAGCCCAGCTCTCCTTGGATTCCATTGACCCTTATCTAGCTGACCATGAATTGATTAGATTCTTCTGCGCAAGCTTGAATGAATCTTCTGTGCTTCAATCTTAATGGGTGTTTTTTTTATTCTTTGTGCCGGTCAAAGCAGTTAAAAGTCACCAAAACAATGTTTTCTCCTCCCTTCTTGCCCTTTCTTTGCAGACGACTCCACAGGGACTCACTCCTTGTATACCACATATCAGGATTATGAGATTATGTTCCACGTCTCCACCATGTTGCCCTACACACCAAACAACCGCCAGCAGGTGAGCAACGTTTTAGTTTACTTTACTCTACTGTCATTGCACCTCTTACAACGAAATCAAACGCCCTCTTCAGTGCACATCATGACCATGAAAATAAACACAAACACACATCCTTCACCCTCCACACATTGAATTGAAAACCCCCAACACCGCACCAACCCTGCACTATACAGCAGAATTCAGCAGAGCTCCTGCCCTGGAATAGAAGCTGTTTTTCAGCCTATTTGTCCTTGTTTTTATTATTGTCCTGTACCGTCTGCCAGATGGTAACAGTTCAAATAAAAGGGTGCCCAGGATGAGATGGATCTTTGAGGATGTTTTGAACTTTCTTAAGGCAGCGGGAGCTCTAAAGATCTTCCAAAGAGGGGAGAGGGCAACCAATGATCTTCTGGGCAATGACGTTCACCCTCTGGAGCATCGTCCTATCTGCCCCTGTGCAATTGGCAAACCCTACAGAGGTGCAGTGAGTTAAGGTACTCTCTCTGGTGCAGCGGTAGAAGGTCACCAGCAGTTTTCCATCCAGTGGTTGTTTCCTGAGAAGCCTCAGGTAGTATAATCTCTGCTGGGGCCTTTTGACCAGGGCTGCAATGTGAGCACCCCAGGTCAGGTCCTCTTTTAGGGTAACACCCAGAAACTTAAAACTGGCCACTTGGCCTCCATTGATAATGTGTGTGTGAGTGTGAAATTGCAGAAGAGAAAGCAGGAAAAAAACCAATATGGAATAGAGTAGAATAGAATATAGAATAGAATAAATATTGGAAGGAATAGGATAGGATAGAATATAGAATAGAATAGAATAGAATAGAATAGAATAGAATAGAATAGAATAGAATAGAATAGAATAGAATAGAATATTGGAAGGAATAGAATACAATAAATATTGGAAGGAATAGAATAGAATAAATACTGAATAGAATAGAATAGAATAGAATAGATATTGGAAGGAATAGAATAGAATAGAATAAATATTGGAAGGAATAGAATAGAATAGAATAGAATAGAATAAATATTGGAAGGAATAGAATAGAACAAATATTGGAAGGAATAGAATAGAACAGAACAGAACAGAAAATATGGAATAGAGTAGAATAGAACAGAACAGAACTTCTTTATTAGCCAAGTGTGATTGGATACACACAAGGAATTTGTCTCCGTCCTCTCAGTGTACATTCAAGCAACAAGTGACAAACCAGAATCCTAAAATACACAATCATCCTAAATCATAGGTACAACACTCAGTGATAGCCACAGGATACTAACGCAAGCACCATAAATCCTGATAGGATACTAAATAAAAGCAATCAACGTAGGTCATGGGATACAACAAGGAGTTCTCGTCGTAAGGATCTAAGGAAATAGGTAATAGGACTGCTGAGAGAGATGCAGCCTTGCTACCGTAGATGGTCTTGATATCCTCTCTCTCTCTCTCTTTTATTCTTCCCTTTCAGCTGTTGAGGAAACGACACATTGGCAACGACATTGTCACCATCATCTTCCAAGAACCGGGAGCCCTCCCCTTCACACCCCGCTTGGTTCGTTCCCAGTTCCAGCATGTTTTCATTGTGGTTAGAGTACACCATTCCTCCATGGATCATACCACCTACAGGTGAGGAGGGAGGGGGCGGTGGAAATGCTGACAACACCATCCTAACTTTTCAAAGTACTTCTGATCGTTTATAGCGGGGTTTTCCTGGATTGCCCGGATATCAAAAGAGTTTTAATTATGGTTTAATCACCCAGAGGTCACCTGCAAACCAAGATTAGATTAGATTAACGAAAGGGATCTTGTAGGTCACCTAGTCCAAACCCCCCCCCCTCCCAAGCAGGGTTTGGCTTCGGTTTGGGTTGATTTTCACACTTGGGAAGGCTGCCACGTTGCGTGCAGCTGTCAATTCTGAAGATTAAGTAGTGTGCAAATCTGAACAATAAATTTGCAATAATGAAGACGCTTTTCTGTCCATCACAGGCCTGTTTCTTCCTGACATTCTGGGTTCATTAATTTAAGAGTTTGGCCTATCTTACCCCACTCCACCCCGTGATACACGCAGAATCTGGGTTCACACAATTCACTGAACGCAGGTTAAAAGAAAGCCAGTACAGGTAGTCTTCAACCAATGGTTCATTTAGCTACAATGGTTCATCTACCTGTATTATGTTGTGATGACCGAGGGTGTGGCACAAAGGCAACACAGCCAGAGAATAAGTATGAGTTCCTTTATTAGCTCCCACTTTGCCCCCAACTTCCCGGTTACTCTCCGGCCTGGAGAAGAACTCACCCACAAACCTGCAACAGCCTTTGGCTGCAGATACTTCAGTCCAAACATTGTAACCAGTAAAGTTCAAATTATAAATCCAACAAGGTAAGGTAAGGTAAGGTAATAAATCCGGCAGAACAAGATAAGGAGTTCCAGAAGCGAAGCAACACGGCAGTACATCAAACCAGTTGGGAGGATGCCAGGAACTCAGATAACAGCAGCCAACACTAGGTGAACTCAGCGTTTGTTCCCAACAACTGCCCCTCCCATCTGCCTCTCTTTTAAATTCCATCCCCAGGTGTGCCTTGTGAGGGAATCGGGGCCCTTTCCCCCCTCGTAAGGCATGCAACCCACGTTGCTCCCTTCTCCGTTCCTCCCTGCGTGCCCTAGGATGAAGAGGGGGTGGGCCTGGTTCTTCCTCTGAATTCCCCCTCCCTTGTTCTACCTCTTCCCTGCTCTGCCCAGCCTGAGTTTTGCCCTTCCCCAGTTTCCTCCACAGACAATGGAGCCACTTCGAGGGGGGTGGGGGATGATATATATTCATATAACATGCAGTTCCCAGTTGCTTCTGGTGGACACTGAATCCAGACCTGTCCTGTCCTTCCCCACGTTAATTTTGTCTTGCGTGTTGTATGAACCCCTGCCCCAAAAAGCAATTAAACTGGCCACTAAAATATATAGAGAAGCCCAACAGGAGGACAACTTAGAGCTTAGAATAACTTTGTTGTCACTTTAAATGCACACTAATTGGCATATATTAAAATGGATAACTTCCCTCCTGCTGAAATGAGTGAGTTAAAAGAGTTCAGATCTCCCCATTTCCTTTACAGTAAACCTGACCTCATCTTGGCTTACCAGTTGGTTGACGTTTGAATAACATCAGCTCGATTTCCGGGGAGATAAACTTAGCCAAACCTCCTTCACTTCGTGGTGTTGAAATTTCGCTTTCACATCCTGCTTTCTTTTTAATTTTTCTGTGCAAAATTGTCAGATCATGCATTTGACCTCTCCATAACTCTTTTACACTTCTCTGGCCTGTGCCTTGTGCATCCCCCTTGTAGCCTTCTGCACCCTCACCATTGTGCACCCGACTCACACACCCACAACTCTGGGAAGCCAGCTTTTGTACTGATTAAACGTTCTCCCTTTCAGGAATTTCCTCCTTATTCCCAGGTTGAATCTCTCTTTAATGATCTTCCATCGGTGATTTATTGTCTCGCTTTCTGGTGCTTTGGAAAATTAGGTAGACTTCCCGTCTTCTTGGTGGCAGCGCCTCAAATCTTGGAAGACTGTTACCATGTCACCCCTGGTCCTTCTGTTCACTAGACAAACCCAATTCCTACAACCACAGACCTTGTAAGGTCTTCTAGTCCAACCCCCTGCTCAAAGCAGGAAACCCTACAGCATTTCAGACAAATGGCTGTCCAGCCTCTTCTTAAAAACCGCCAGTGATGGAACAACCACAACTTCTGGTGGCAAGTCGTTCCACTGGTTAATTGTTCTCACTGTTAGGAAGTTTCTCCTTAGTTCTAGGTTGCTTCTGTCCTTGATTAGTTTCCATCCATTGATTCTTGTCCTGCCTTTGGGGGCCTTGGAGAATAGCTTGACCCCCTCCTCTTTGTGGCAGCCCCTCAGATATTGGAAGATGTTACAGATTAACAGAGTTGGAAGGGACCTTGTAGGTCATCTAGTCCAACCCCCCGCCCAAGCAGGAGACCCTACACCATTTCTGACACATGGCAGTCCAGTCTTTTCTTGAAAGCTTCCAGTGATGAAGCTCCCACAACTTCTGAAGGCAACTTCTGCTCCATGGGTGGATTGTTCTCACTGTCAGAAAATTCCTCCTTATTTCCAGGTTGAATCTCTCCTTGATCAGTTTCCATCCATTCTTCCTTGTCTGGCCTTCAGGTGGCTTGGAGAATAGCTTGACCCCTTCCTCCTCTCTGTGGCAGCCCTTCAAATATTGGACGACTGCTATCCTGTCTCCCCTGGTCCTTGTCTTCCTTTAGACTAGCCAGGCCCGGTTCCTGCAATTGTTCCTCGTATGTTTTGGTCTCCAGTCACCTAATCATCTTGGTTGCTTGCTCTTCTCTGCACTCTTTCTAGAGTCTCAACATCTTCCTTATAGTGTGGTGACCAAACTGGATGTTTGGATGTGGCCATACTAACGCTTTGTAACGTGGAGAAAAGGGGTGGCATGTTTTCAGTGGTGCCCTGGTTGCAGGGCAGGCCCTCCCAAATCATTGCAAAAGGTGTACAGGGTGAGGATGGGCCTGGATTACCCTTTCTTTGTTCTTTGATGCTTTTGATAACAACAACCAAAAAAGGCATAAAGTTGTCGTGTTGATTCACACTTTCGCATGTGATGCGTTGGAAAACTTCGCGCTCACGAGTTGGTTTGTTGGTCGAATGTGCTGTGGTTTTTAGTGTGATTCAGAAAACATTTGCACCCTGAGTTCTGCACTTGTGGGAAATGACTGTGCCTTTATATTTGTCAAAGGGTGTTTTTTTTAAAAAACATAATCCTGTCTGGAGTGTGCAGATTGTAAGAGAGCTGCAGGTTCAAACACCTCCAAATATAGGTTTTGATTTGCAGCAATACCTCCTCATTTACTGAGATGAATTGCTTGCTATTATTTGATTATCCTAAAAATCCTATCATATCTATCTACCTACCTATCATCTCTCCCCCCCCCCCTGCTTACCTACCTACCTAACAGATCTAACAGATAATCAGAGTTGGAAGGGACCTTGTAGGTCATCTAATCCAACCCCCCACCCAAGCAGTAAACCCTACATCATTTCTGTCAGGTGGCAGTCCAATCTCTTCTTGAAAGCCTCCAGGGATGAAGCTCCCACAACTTCCGAAGGCAACTTCTGTTCCATTGTTTGATTGTTCTCCCTGTCAGAAAGTTTCTCCTTATTTCCAGGTTGAATCTCTCCTTGTTCAGTTTTCATCCATTGTTCCTTGTCTGGCCTTCAGGTGCTTTGGAGACTAGCTTGACCCCCTCCTCTTCTTTGTGGCAGCCCCTCAAATACTGGAAGGCTGCTCTCCTGTCTCCCCTGGTCCTTCTCTTCACTAGACTAGCCAGGCCCAGTTCCTGCAACAGTTTGTCATATGTTTTAGCCTCCAGTCCCCTAGTTATCTTAGTTGCTCTTCTCTGCACTCTTTCTAGAGTCTCAACATCTTTTTTATAGTGTGGTGACCAAAACTGGATGCAGTACTCTAGGTGTAAATCATCAAATAAAAATCAGAATTCTGTCCTATAAACAGGGTTCAGTGAGTTATTAAAAAGGGGGGGGAAAATTTGCATGCCATCTTATTTCCTATCGGTAGAATTTCCCATCTTAATTGTGGTTCTTTTTGTTTTAAAAAAAATCTTTTCTGTGGCCTGAGAAAGTTCTCTCTTCCTTTCCACTTTGGTTCCATTACGCACAGAAAACAGTTGGGTGGGTTTTTTTGGCGGGGGGGTGTTTGGTTTTTTTTGAGAACGAAATGTGGTGGAACGAGTTGCAGTCCTCCGTGTTCCTTTGGCAGTGAGAAAAAAAAAGAGAGATACAAACCAATCAGGCCACAACTTGGAAGTGCCTTGTTGTGGGGGTCACTCCAAAAGCCAGTGGCGTTTTTAACATTGCCAGCCGTTGATGAAAAGGGCCTTCGTGTCCTAAATATGTTGAATTGCTGCGTTTCTTTGAGTGAGAAAGCTGCGTTTTTTTGGGGGGGAAAATACCCGTATTTTCCTCTGTGGTCATTTGGTGCATGAAAAGAGCTCTTTGTGTATAGATCATACCAGAAAAGAATTTCTTGAAAGCTTTCCCTCCCCCCCCCTTTTTTTTTTCCCAAAATGCGTCTGTTCTTAAGAATTGGTTTCTTAATGTGGACTAGAAATCCTTCCATGCGTGCGCACGGAAGAGAAGCTGGCTTGGTTCTCTTAACGGAATTAATGTTTCTCAAAAAGGCGGAAATGGATCGACAGCACTCACTTCGGCGCTATTTCTTGAGATGTTATTTAAACCAAAAACTGCCCTCCCACCAGCACTGGAGGTTTTCAAGAAAAGGTTGGACAACCCTTTCACAGAATAAAAGAGTTGGAAGGGACCTTGGAGGTCTTCTAGTCCACCCCGCTGCTCAAGCAGGAGAACCTGCAACATTTGAGAGAGGTGGCTGTCCTGTCTCTTCTTCAAAACCTCCAGTGATGGAGCACCCACAACTTCTGAAGTCAACTTCTATTCCACTGGTGAATAGTTCTCGCTGTCAGGATAAATTTCTCTTAGTTCAGGAATTTCGTCCTTTGTTTTAGGAAGTTTCTCAGTTTGTCCTGGGATGGTA